CTACGTTCAACCTCGCTGCAAAGTTAATTGAAAACACAGCAACAACAGAGATTGATAACCGAGCGTTTATCAGTTGACTGTAAAGGTCGCGTTTTGGGGTCCGTCCGTCAGAACTGAAAGGCAAAGGCTTTATCCGGGTTGTAATTCACAGCGGGAATGTCAATATACACACAACGCTATTCACTGGGGGAGAATCAATAAACCTGAATGCAATATAAACCTAAAGTATGTAAACTCTTTCTATTATTTGAAATATCTCATTCTCTCCTACATTTCTGTTCAACTGCAAGGCTCCTCAAATCCTCACGGTGACGGAGGGAGAGAATTAAATAATGTAACAAGAGGCCCTGTACCGGCTCTAATAGCTATTACAAATGATTAATGCTTGAACATAGTTGTTCCAGACTTTAAGGGCATGAAAGCCTTTTACAAATACCTACGCTTAATCACAACACAATGAAGGACAGCTTTTTCCCAAGCGCCCCCCCCCCACCGGCTGCAAATACTATCACCCATTCCAAGTTCACACTACACAGAATTCTAAGATCTCTGTACTGTTCACGAGGAGTCATGGTTTTCCACCACATCGCACGCCACAGCATCTTGTACGAGAGGGGACACGGGCGTAGCGTAGCTCATCACGCCATCATCATGCCATCATCACGCCATCATCATGCCGTATTTCCACATATGCAAAAATCTACCTTAGCACTTGTATGTCTCCGGTTCTGTGCATATGATTAGTGTTATTTATTATCTTCCTGCTTGTTTTCATCTCAATGTCTATGTTTTATGATGTCCTCTTTCTGTGGGTCACTGGCAGTTATCAAGCTGAATTCTTTAGTTGTATGGTTTCAATTGCAATAAAGTGTCTTGAATTGTTTTCAGAGGAACACATGGTTTCACTCTTTTTCCACCTGGAGTTGTTCGTGATGAAGCAAAGAAGTCAAGGAGGATAACTTCATTTTGTTGTGTCGACATGGTCCCAAACCTGGTACCACTGCATTCAACCAGGTTATTTTTAGTGGCCCCATATTGTTAATGAGAACTGACTAGCATTCAGCGAAATGTTGGTCGTCTGAGGCAAACTGTTTATTGGCTTACGCAGCAACCCAGTTAATATCAGGTAGCATGAGGCCGGAAATTGTATTTCATTGTGATCAACTTGGGAGACTACTGCAAACAAAGGAAAGATCTAGGCTGCGGGGACGTGACGTTGGGATGCAGAACGCTTGACCTTGGGATGCAGAACATTACATTACAGGTCATTTAGCTGGTGCTTTAATCCAAAAGGACTTACATTGCATTTTTAAACCATTAGGTGTTTTGCTCAGGGACACTTCGACATGGGACATGGAGCAGCCGGGGCTCGAACCACCAACCTTGTGGTTCCCAGCGCACCCAGTCTACCCTCGAACACTCCTTGCATGTGTTGTCGTGGTTGTGTAGTTAAGTTCATAAGAGTTAATTTAGATGCTTGAGATCCGACGGGAGAGAAGAGGAAGTTATTCCTGGGTGTGGTACCTCTGAGGTTGGTCCACAGTGGACCGTGACAATACACGCCATTGTTATTCACAACAGAGGGAGGCTGTCCCAGGTTCCAGGGAGGAAGAATGAATTGGATTTCTGGCTGAATGAGGCATCGGCACTTCTGGGTCGGTCTAGAGAAAGTTGAGCCACCACCTCTTTGTGGGGCTGTTGCTGGAGTGCCTTTCATATGTTGCAGATCCTCCAGAATTATTGAGATTCAAAAGAGGGTCTGGGCTGGCCAAAGGAAGGGTTCCTCCGGGTGCTTAGTAGCACAAATGCTGCTCAGGGGTCACAGTAAACACATCTAATCTGTTTCGTGCGGAGTGACAGGAACACCCCAAAAAGGGTTCGTTTCCTCAGCCTTCTCCAGGCAAAACTAATGCTAGAAAAAGCCATCAGGGCAAATATTAGACCGGACTGACTATAGAATGACTATTTATATTCAAAGTTTATCTCAACTTTGCCCTGTTTGAAAAAGTCTACAACTTTAGAACGGGTCTCGGCTCGAAAGGACACAGCAGAAGAGTCTGCAGGCTGCATTACACAGTAAAATAAAATGTCAATACGTACATGAATATAAATGTACTGAATTATTCTTTGTCAAAATACTGGGACCCATTACCAGATCGGCTGCTGGTCACCGCAGCACAATCCAACTATTTGAGAGGTGAAGAACATTTGTGCTGCTTCAAAATAAAAGCTTTTAAAAAGAAATGCAACAAAATAACAGTGGACTTCAATTGTGAATAATTAACAAGAAAATGTGTGTATCACTGAATTTGAGGAGGTTTGATGGCGGCTGCTCTCCAATAAAAGAAGTCTACTTCCAACAAACATAACAAAGAATTTATGGCAAATAACTCAACAAAATATTTTTCTACACACACATCAGTGTATAATGCACACTTATTGGCAAATTATCTTTATTTCCTCCACTCCTCACTCAAATCTTTTGGTGTGAAACAGCCACCAATCATACTGTGAGATGTATACATTTACAAAAGAGACGTTGATGGTGCGGCAGAAGTGAGCGATCTAAGTGCACTAACGTCCCTGTTTTGTGAACGTAAGGAAAAAAAAGTTTATGTTGAATGTTAAATGTCATTGCATCACATAACTTTAACCCAGTTCAATTCATTTCTTTCCCTTCTTGTCTAAAAACATCTCATTTGATCGAATCAGCGTTTAAGCAGTTCATGTGCCATAGAGGGAATCTGTCCTGTACCATTTGTGCGGCACAATTTCTTTATTAGTTTCTGGGAGACTGCCAGGTGGAAAAAGCAGAGTTTTGTCTAAAACATTTTCCGGTGTGAATGTGGACACGACAGTCACATTTTTTCCAGCAATTGTTGTTTTTTCAGAGCAAAGGCAGGCAAGAAAAAAGAAACTCAGGCCAGACAGGAACCACTAAGCCTTTTTTCCAGCTTGGTAAAAAGAATGAATTATTCAACAGTAGGCATGCTTTCAGCTTGCCATTTGTGTGCTTTGATCTAGGAATCAGGAGTTTGCATGAATGCCTGTATTGTCATCTTATGCTTCCACCATGTACGAATGAGTGAATATAGTACAAATAGTGCAGGACCGCGCGTCATCTGGGAAAGTTTACGCTGCGTGTGCTGTCGGCAGGCGGGCTGGTGTTGTAAATCCCCAGATGTTATTCGTTGGTCCTGTGATCACATGACTGGGTTCAGTCAGGTTGGCCTCACCTAAATGTTCAACGGGAAAACCGCTGCAGGGTCAACCTGTTACAAACTGCAGCTCGATATCATGGCCCCTCCCTCCCCTTCCTCGCTCAGCGGACCAATGAAGTCTGCAGGTGTGGCACGCGGCCAGGAGCTGCACGTATCAAAGGGCGCATTTCATAAATATATATTCGATAAAATACATCTGCCTGAAATACATTTTTTTTTCTGAATAGGATTTCCCTACAGGAAAGTCTGCACATATTTTACAAACTTAACCCTAAAAGCGGGATAAATGATAAATTGATGGATAAAAGCAGAGAAAACAATCATTAAGCAAATAATCTTCTAATGTATGATGAGTTCTAAATTTACAAATGTAAGTATTTTCTCATATTATATGGACCAAACAATACAGAAAGATTAATCCTTACTAATAGCTTTACTATATGGATGTATCTTCATACTTGTTATCCTCATACTTTCACTACACAGACAACAAGCAGATATTGACATCCATCACAGTTTTCTTCTCTTATCTAATCTAATTAGATCTAATCAAGTCTAATTATGCAACACGTCTCCTATATTCTGCTCTTCTCTTTCTTTGGAATGTATTCTTTCAGTATACCTTCTGTCACACTGTGTAATCTGTGATTGGCTGCAATTCATCGATAATGCCTTTTCTTCTGATTACCAAAGACTCGGCTTATTAGAACGTGTGCGGCACGTTTTGGTCCCATTGTGTCGTAACAAAAATAAGGCCTTTAATTGACGATATGAATGTAGAAAAATGTTTCATTGTAATGGGGATTTCGGTGCATTTTATGGAGGAGATGAGCAGATCCATGCCATTGATTGGCTACAGCTGGACACATAATTAGAGTGCCTCCTTACCTATAATTTGAGTAATAGTTTTTGTTGGCGGCATGTTATTACCATATGAAAGGGCTAAGCAGGGGTCAGTTACATTGCTACAGCAATTAGAGCGGAGCCAAGCAGAAGAATGTTTGGAGCAGTTGTTAATTGGAAATCTCTACAAAGCTATGCTTTAATTATTATTTAGTCAGAGCTTCAATGTTTCAGACCCAATGTATTCAGTTGCCATTATTTCCTGTAATAGTATGAACAGCTAGATCTGCTTCCTTTCAAAGCGCCGTGCTTTGAAGAGAATGAGACCGCATTAGATTAATTTGAAAGGCTGTGCTGTTTTTTTTTTTTTTCATGCTTATGGCTCTTTGTGTCTCACTGGAAAACTGGATCTGGTTTGTGTAGGAGATACACATACCTTCCAATGTGCATGCACCTGCAATTATGGTTGTAGTTTGCTTTATATTATATTGCTCCACTTTTCTGTTGCTGCCTTTAATTGACCATTTCTGCATTTTGGAATTGTGGAACTTTTACCACAATTCTTTCTTTTTTTAACGTTTTTTAATGGCTGTTTTTATTTTATATTTCAATTAATGTTTTGAACGATTTTTCAATATCCTTGATTTATGTTTGGATGTTTTTAATGGATTTATGTGAAGCACTTTTAATTGCCTTGATGTTGAAATGTGCTGTACAAATTAAATGGCCTTGCCTCGGCGGAAGATTTTTTGTATACTTTCTAGTAAAGTTGTAGCTTTGTCCATGTAGCTACGACTCATATTGTGATTAAAGGCAGTTTTATACATCTATTATTTACAATGTATATTTCCCGACATCAGTGTGTTAATCGCCATCTCCAAATGGATGATTTTATCGGTTTTGCTTTTTAAAAAACACATTTTTCTCCTCACGCAGGTCGAAATGAGTTGATAGCCCGATACATCAAGCTCCGGACCGGGAAGACAAGGACTCGGAAGCAGGTAAAACAACAGAAGCGGCGTCTCTCTGGCATGAGTGTCAGAAGGCTGTCAAATATGAATGCTTGCAGACTGTTGCCTTTTGTTCCTAGATAGAGAATAACAACAATGCTTTGCTCTCAATGAGACTTCTGAGGCTGACAAGTCTCCCTTCCCTGCTGCGTCGTATCAACTGATGCCCGCAGATTATGACATTTTCTAAAATTGTTACTTATTAGCACACAAACTGTGTGAGAACCGTTGCAGTTGTTCTAAAAGCTAATTTCTCCTTAAAATGCAGCTAATTTCATTCAATATAGCAGCTACAGTAAACACAGGTATTCTGCTTCATCACTAAATCCCGGAGGTTGTGCTCTTGGATAGAAGCCTGTATGAATGGAAGCCTCAATAGATACAATCTGATCTCTGAGTATTGACTGAGAGTGCACTCTGTGTTCTGCAACTCACTGCTGTGCTTTGCAGACATCAAGTTTTACCACAGCGTTCAGCTCAGATTCCGAAGTTTCTCTGCAATTGATTTATTAGTTTACGCTGTAATATTTTTTGTTTATGTAATGTAAATAATTTATAATTCATGGCTCTTACATTCTGCTATATGCAATATATGTATTTTTCTTAGGAAGCATGGTACAAAAATGAAACCCAAGTGGGAAATTAATTTGTGTATTCACATTAACTTGTAATGAGCAGCTGTGATGGTGCTTCAGTAACAGTATGAAACCCACTTACTGGTCTGCTCTCTAAACAGGAAATCCCCAGTACGACCACTGACTGCAATAGCAATGACGAACAAGCCCGAATCTGCGGGGACATTCGATCACTGTGTATGAATTGATCGGTCTGATGCAGAAAGGCTGCGTGGTTTCTCTCTCTGGGACTTTTCCCCTCGGCCCAGAATAAGAATTAGATGAACAACCAGAAAATTGGGAAAAATGTAGCTATTTACTTAGTTTGGATGGAACATATTCAATCATATTACCATTGCAACCGATTTTACCCAGAAAAAAATTGGGAAAGGCCCCAGAGCACTTAAAAAAATAAACAACTCTGTAACCTCCTTATTGAGTTATTCGACTTCAGAAGACGTGTTATATGAATGCATTTACCTGACAGATATACTGGTTTCAGATTCAGAATAGTCAAAAAATGTTCCTAGGAATTAAAATCTGCATTATTATTGATTAAACTGTCCAGTATCAATTGGAAGCCCCACGTTGAACCAACATAATAATAGTAAAACAGTCAGTTTAAATACAGGCCTCTGTCATTCTTAACAGTAAGTATTTGAATGCAGCTTCTCTTGCACCTAATAATAGTTTTAGAGAACGTTTTAAGTGTTGTTAATGATTGCTGATTATCTATCACTTTATTACGTGCTGGCATTCATAATGTATGTTTTCATGCAAGATCTATCCATCTATTTGATTACCAATAGGTGGCCAGTTAATTCAAATACATTTTATTTGTAAACTGAATCCATTACTTTTCAGAGGCATGAGAGTCACTACGGAGCGCCTTAAAACTGGCCCGGTCATTGCTTTACATGTCTTACGTTCTGCTGTTTTTATATCTGCAGCTTTGTTTGCATTATAAGTATAGCAAAATATATCAAATTTGAGTTGAAATGTGTCTGTCGAGGGGAGCCGCTTGTGCTCATTGACTCCATGGAACAGGAGTTGGGCTTTAACGCTGCAGATACACAGGGCTGTGTTTGCTTGTTCATTAAGTTCATTAATATTGAGGAGGTCAAGTGTCCAAATTGCACTATATATTACGAAGCACTCCCCTGGGTCCTCCAGGAATACCGATGCCAAGTGTGAAGTAGATCAGATGAGCGATTCTCGAGATATGCAAACATAACACAGTCAGACTGAGGGACGGACGGATTCCTTGTTTTATAATTCAATATGAAATCCTCCCACTGGAGAAGCTTGAACCACAGAATGTTTTTTTTCTTCTTTTTTTGCAGATTTATTTTCAATCGATCAATCAATTAACTTATAATCTCAGCTTTAGTTTATGAATCTTAATAGCACAAAAACATCATGTTTGAAATAACATACATAATTACCCGCGGAGGAAGCACTTTTTAAATCACTTACTTTGCTCCGACGGGAAAACTCGTGATTTGCGTGGGCGGCGTCAGAGGAGACGCCCCTCAAAGCTGTCATCAACCTACTTCTCTCTCTCTAACTGTCACTTGCACTGCTGAATGTTTCATGTAAGAATATTAAATAATTTAGCAGGGTAAACTTGGCCGGTGAAATGCCTCGCCAAGCTCCCGTAAGGATACAAGACCAGCCAATTCTCATTCAACACACAGCAGATCACATCTGGGTGCTGTTAATGGGTTCTAAAGGGGCCTGCATCCTCCTTAATCAGTTCACTTAAGTGACGACAACACACAGCATAACGCGTTATTGGCTGTTAGCTTGGTGTGTGGTTTGGAGACGCTTCTGTTCTCCGTGAAGTGTCTGTTTAAGAAAGAAATGTATAATCCACTTTGTACTTTTTTTGTTTTTTCTTGTGTTTTTATTCTACGTTTTCTCTTTTGTTTTGTTTTTTTTAATGGAGGTGTCTAGTCACATACAGGTCTTAGCAAGAAAGAAAGTTCGAGAAATCCAAGCTGTCATTAAGGTACGTCAGGCTTTGCCCAGTTGCAAGGGGCTTTTCATTGCCATGGTTACAGGCTCTTCCTTTGTTTTCCTCCCCCCCCTACCCCGCAGGTGTCTAGTCACATTCAGGTTCTTGCCAGAAGGAAATCTCGTGAGTTTCATTCCAAGCTAAAGGTATGCGCTTTTCTGCTTTTGGGCTTGTTGGTTGCTGTGAGACTTAACTTCCTGTTTCCCGTGGTGACCGAGTGAATGCCCGGTCCTCAGATTCCTGCTAACCCGAATGTTCTGCTGAGTGTAGTCTGCTCACGTTCTCTAACCCCCTCTAAACTTCTCAGTCCAATTTGACCTCTTACCTTTGCTCTGACATGCTGTCAATGTCCCGTCTGCTGGTTTTCATCTACGTTTATTCACTTTGCTTTACTGTCCTTTTGCTCATTTTATACATAAATACTCTTAGGAATGGAAAAGGCAGTTTAGCTTTAGTAAGACAGTTTTTAAATTCATTATTATTATTATTGATCTTGGTGGGTTTTGAGCTAAAGCAATGCTAACATGCTGATTACAGGTGTAACGTTTTCTATTTCATTTTTTATCTGAGGGGGATGCTGAATGAAAAGTCAGAGGATCCTCATTGGTTATTACGATTCTTCCTAAAGAGGACTTTTAGATTTTACATTATTTAATTAAAAATATTCTGCATGGACCACGTTGACAGACCAAAAGAAATAAAAGAAATATGTAAAATGGTTCATTTACTGGACACACTTAAAATAGTGTCCTCTGTGTATTTGTAATAGTTTAGTAAAATGTGGGGAAGCATGCTGGTATTGGCTGGTGGTGTGTGGCCGAGAGCTGAAGGTCCAAGGAAATCGGTCTGATGGCTGACTCTTGCTGAAATGCTGTCTGCTTTCTTGTTCATCCCTCTTCGTCCTCACAGTGCCGTGGCTGTCGGCTGCTTTCCCACCTCCCAGTCCAGATGACCTCATTTCAGAGCATTTTAGTCAATCGCAATTAACAATAATTGATTTTGTTGAAATCCCATGAGAAAGCTTTTAACAATTGCCGATTTAAAATGGGGAAAAAAGCATTGTGAAAGAAGCCGTCAGGAATAATATTGACCTGTAATTTAAGGTATTTAATGAAGTAATACTTGTATATCAAAGGTTTCCCCCCCATGTGCCATGTTCTTCTTTCCTTGGACGACTTTGTGAAATAACAGACATCATTGTTCTGTTTTTTCTGTCTTGAGTAATGAGTACTGATCAAAATGTGGAAATTGTCGAGGAAAATCCTTATTAGGTGTTTGGTGCACATTTGTGTTGTGCTGTGTCAAGAAGGCTTGACATCCACAAATGTAACTGTTGTACTGTGATGCTGGTAGGTTTGTCATGCAGACTTTAATAACCATTTTATTAATAAATGTTTAATAACCACAATTAATTCACCACAAACCCTTGTTTTTTTGCACACAGGTTACAAGCATGGTAAGTATTCATTTTCTGTTTGTAATGTTGTCTTTTAATTTCATTTTGAGCTGCTCTGTCCTTCAGCTGCTAGCTTTGCATTTGTTCTCATAGCAACACAGTTGATGTTTTTCTAGTTTAGTGCTTTTTTCATTGTGTCATCATGCTATTATCACGCTGTAGCTTATCTCCGCACCACCGGCATCTGTTGCCAGCATGCTTTCCTCTCGCTTCTACCACCAGTGAGTCTGCATGGGTTTGCTAAACATATACCCATATGTCCAGGTGTCCAAGTTCAATATGACTTCTTACAACTTTGTGAATGCCTACTAACAAAGGACTATGTCCAAAACGACAGGAAATGTGCAGTGCCTTTCTGCAGGCTCATGTGGCTCTTTCTTACCATTAAGCATGGCCATTTACAATTTTTACCTCCTGATGATTTAAAGATTACTCGTTTAAAAAATAAGGAACCAGAGAAGTGAAAGTTTCTTAAGCAAGTGAGACTTTTTATCCCTCGATTTTTACTTCTCGGACATTCTCGACAATGTGTGGATGTGTTTTGACGCAATCCTGATAGAAATGCTGCTGAATGAGTTTTTGAAAGTATTTTATTGGTAGAATGGTCAAAAACTTTCCTGTATGCATACCACAGCTTTCACACTGTATATTGGAATTTAATCCTGTTCCGCACATTCCTATAAAAACACTTTTCATTGATAATGCACATGCATCCTCTTTTAACCTGCTTGCAGTTTACTGTTGTGACAGTGGTGATGCTTTTAGTGTGTCGTTTGGAGTCTGTTTGTTACTACCTCTACAACATGCCCGACCTTCCCCTTGTGTGCGAGAGCTAAGCCTTTTGTGACTGCTGTTAAAGGACCAAGCCGTGAAGGACAAAGCCCTCCAGAGCATGGCCTCCATGTCCTCGGCTCAGATTGTTTCTGCCACGGCTATTCACAACAAGCTGGGCCTGCCAGGCATCCCGCGCCCAGCCTTTCCTGGAGCGGGGGTAAGAGCCTTGTCGTCGCCCCGCTATTGATCTATCCTGTCCAGTTTCACCCACGGCAGCCACGAGGCCAACCACGCCGACGCCCGCGCCAAATCACATTACACACCACAGCTTTGCATAACTGCTGCTATCAGATAAGCACGTTATCAAGTGGAGTGTTAGTCAAGATAACTACATCCGCTGAACACGGAGCTCTTTTTATCACAGTTGTACCTTCTCTGTTGTTTTCTATTAAAACATGTAATTCTCCAGTTATGGCAGGGCATGATATCGGCCGGTCAGCCAGGATCCTCACAAGAGTAAGTGTGAAATAAATACAATAAAAATTGTTTTTTGAATTCACAAAACTAAGGAAAGTAATGGTTTAAATGTGGTTTTATATATTTGTCATTCTCTATTCCAGCATTAAGCCTTTCACCCAGCAAGCCTATCCCATCCAGCCAGTCACAACAGCCATTTCAAGTAAGAATTTACCTGATTAGAAAACTATTTGCTGGATTTCAAATATTTTAAATTCAAGCTCAAGCCGTAAAAAAAATCTAATAACATGCAATCTTATGCTGAGTTTTTGAAAGTATTTTATTGGTAGAATGGTCAAAAAGCAAACTTTCCTGTATGCATACCACAGCTTTCACACTGTATATTGGAATTTAATTCTGTTCTGCACATTCCTAACTATACTGTGTCTAAACTTGCTCCATCTCCACATGAACATTTATTTCGGTAAAAAACATGCAAAATTGTTGAATCCATTTCTTTAGTTTTCCGAGGATAATGGGCAGATTATCTCGCTGTAAAACGAATGTGTTGATAGAGAGAAATTAAAACGCTTGAAAGATGGGACCAAAAACAAAACTTTTTTTTTTTTTAATGAACATCTTTTTAGGAACTGCCGTTTTCATCAGTAAAGACAGCATTAGTGTGATTTCTTGGTTTTATTTTAAGAATACAACAACAAATATTCGGCCCTCCTCACCGTGGACACCGAGCTACGTCCCCTGATCACAGCTACATTGGCTGAAAGACAAATTCCACTTCCTAGCTTGTTGTATAACAAGCTTTGTCCTGCTCTTAGATGCCCAGAAATGTCTCACATTCAAATATTAAACTACAGGCAGATTTAGACACCCCACCACATTTTTCTTAATAAAGGAATTGTTGAGCGGTATGATTTCTGTACGAGACTTTAAATTGTTTTTCGGAAGATTTAGGATGTTTTTTTTTATTTTTTTTTATTTGTATGATAGATATTAAAAGAAAACTAAAAACAGCTTTATTTATACAAGTTAAATTAAATTAGGAGATAATCTGTGCACTGAAATGTGTCCTTAATATCATGCGTTTCAATGCCGTGACCCCAAACCTGGTTTGAAGATGTATTTCCTTTTTGTTTGTACAGTCTGTGAATTGCTCTGCGTTTTAAATGTGAGCAAAGAAGGTCAGAACTAGATAAACAACAACAGGACAAACTGAAGTTAAATGAACTAAATGTAGCTGCACTGTAAAACAACCAGCAGAAAGGACACATTTTGTGTTATTGTGGCGTTACCGTAGGTTACGAGCCTACAGGAGCTCCAACGGCACCAGCATGGCAGGGCCGCTCCATCGGAACATCTAAACTCCGACTGGTGGAGTTCTCCGCCTTCCTGGAGCAACAGAGAGACCCAGACACAGTGAGTGCAGCATTAAACTAAAGCATGAAGTATCGCTATCTCTTGGTGTTCATTCCCACCTCTTATCATCCAGGCCTTTGCTCTATCAATACACTGGGACCTTTTCCCAGGCAGAGAGTCAACTGAGAGGAGGCCAAAACAAGCTGAGGGCCTGTAGGGACACGGCAGGAAAAACTGCATATTAATCAGTACCTTAAAAGGCCAAAACTGTATTTACGTGGCAGACTTCAGTTCAGGCGAACCATCCACAGTCTCATAGAGCGTGCGTTGACAAATTCAAGTCCCACATTTCTTGTTTGCTTTAGGAATATTTTTAATGTTTGTCCACTTTTCCCTGAGCACTTTCTTTTGTTATTACAACGGCACGACAACAGCCATTATTCTTACATTCAGCCCGATGATTGAAATTGTTGCATTTGCCCTAAAGGCTACACACTTGACAGGCTGCTCTGTGAGCTTTTAAACTGAAGTGCAGTACCACGGCGTTTAATGCGGTCACCGCAAGGTCAACAAACCTCTGAAATTCAAATGTCATTTTCTGATTTGCTTCTCTTTCTGCCTTTTTGCTGGGCACCGTGGGTTCAAACAGACCACAACATTCATCCACTTTGTTAAACCAAATCCAAATATTCTCATTTGAAAGTTGATGGAATAGAGAAAACATATTTTTTCAAAGATAAAGCACTCAAATTGCATTCCATATTGTCAATTTAGGTTTAGTGTGGTTGCCTTCTGCAAAAATGTTGCTTTTCATCCGAGTGGAGACAGAATAATTCTCTGAGTGGTTGAATTATTTAGTTTGCCTAATTCCCCCCATAGAGATGGATCCATCTCGGTCAGATATGTTGGGATTTTTGTTTTCATTACTTTCTTTTTTTAAAAGTCACATATTCTAAGTTAATGGAAATTGCGCAGTCATTCCTACCTTGGGAACAGTTCGTTTTTGGAGCAGAATCACGTTTCCGAATTTTGACATCATAGAACCATGTAGACGGCCAAATACAAAGTGCTGCTCAGGGTTATCATCATGAGGTGGTATTGTTACCAAATATGATTACTACTAACACTTGTTTGTTATAGTGGTTTATTTGTCAGGATTTGTGTTTTGTAAGATTACCCTCTCTGTGCAGATGACTTTCTTGATATTGATACTCAGGTCAGTTTTAATGAATTGTGAATTAGAGCACCATATTTTAAAGTATGTTTGTAACACTATTGCATGTATTCTTTCAGTACAACAAACACCTATTTGTACATATCGGACAGACAAATCACTCCTACAGTGACGCCCTGCTGGAGTCTGTGGACATTCGCCAGATTTATGACAAATTCCCAGAAAAGAAAGGAGGACTGAAGGAGCTGTATGGAAAAGGTTCTCAGAATTCCTTCTTCCTTATAAAATTCTGGGTGAGTGTTGCAGCCGCAGGATTGATCATTTATCGTATAAAATGGAGGATTACATTTCTTTACGCACATCAGTATGAATATCACTGTGAAATGTTTGATGGCAGAATCGGGAACATTCGGCTCAGGTTCGTCTGTGGTGATTGGTTGTAATCAGTCTAAGCAGAGCAGATTGCTCTCTTAATGTTTGCAGAATGCACTCGGCTATATTTGGACTTGCATAGCAGGAGAGCTTTTGATCAAAGCAGTCACTAATTCAACGTAATATCTCCAAACAATGGAGTGACCTGGTTGCACTCCTAATGGCTGTTTAAACATTGCATGTATTTCCTCCCTGATGCAAAATGCTAACTAGCGGCAGCCAACAAAGTAGGACCGTATGCACTTGGACCAAGTCCCCTCAAATTCCTTTTGAAGTGACCGACCAATCTAAATTTCAAATGAAAGACCGAATCTGCACAATAATGAATGTATAACTACTTTGCTTAATGAAGGAGGAGAATGTTGTAGGAGGACGTCTCCTCTTTTTGAATCCATAATGAACAGGATGTTGAGGGCATAGAAAGGCTGCACTCTGGGAGTAGACCAGTTCGACCTTTATAATCAGTCTTTTAACGTAAATTCATTTAATCCTCTTTAGTATCTCATTTCCAATATGGACACATTTACATACTTCCTCAGATGTGGCCTAGATCTTCTAATTTGATATATGATATACATGTTTAATCTCAACAGCTCTCCATTAGACAGTGACAAAAGAAGTAAACTAACATATTTGGATGCCACATTTAAACCAAATGCTGATGTCCTCGAGTACAGATGTTACGTTCTGTATAATGTGTGCATTTACTTCATCCTAGTCTTCATAGTGGGTTGTCTTTGTAGTTTGCAGTCAAGCAACCAGGAGTTGGTAAAGACCCAAGCAAAAAATGTTTTATAAATTTGCACCGTAAATGATTGACGTGTGAATAACTTTACAGTAATGTATGTTAATGTTGTTTCAACTACTTGTTACCAATTGGCAAAATATAATACAAATATTATATTGCAGGTTCAACAAAGGAATCGTTTCCCTTATTCTAGAACTAAAGACACGGCTCTTCCATTTCCTTTTCTGCTTTATATTGTTGGAACGTATTGCACATCGATAGGACATTTAAAAAGTAGGAATTAGAGGCCTCTTGATTTCCTTACTTTTACCCACATGTATCCAGTGTGAACACTGCATGATCAAAACCTGCCCACATTTAGCATAGAGTGAGAAATCGACTAATACTAATACGTCAGCGTTATTTGGCTTCTTACTGATACTTTGGTATTCCTCTACATGTCGGCCTTTAACAAGAAATTATACACAGAACAAAATGACCATGTGGATTTGAGGCAGTTGAGTAACAGTCTCCATTACTAAGTCTGTCCACCAGAGAGCGCTGAGTTTATTTTTTCATTTTAATTGTGAAATGTCCCGCTGATGAATTTTGGTCATAGATCATTAATCAAATCAGTCAAAGAGAATTCATATTGAGAATGTTTAATTAAAATTAAAGATTTGCTAAATATTGCCTTTTTGGAAGTTTAATTTCGGCATGTTACACCTAATCCAGCTGCATTTAGTTCTGTGCAGCTTGTCACCGTTGCCATTACTAGTATTTTACCATTTTAATACACTTTATTTCCTCTTTGTACCGTGCCTGGGCCTTTTGTTCAAAACCTAAATTTAGATTTTAATTGCCGCAGATTGCTCATCTAAACGATTCTATTCCAGGCGGACTTGAACTGCAGCATTCAAGATGATACTGGCTCTTTCTACGGTGTCACGAGTCAGTACGAAAGCTCTGAGAACATGACCATTACCTGCTCAACAAAGGTCTGCTCCTTTGGGAAGCAGGTGGTTGAGAAAGTTGAGGTATGAACTCAAATATTTTCATCCTGGTGATCAAAACAATGAATTGCTATTTTGATTGAGACATTTCTTTCCCTTTTTCCTCAGACTGAATATGCGCGGTTCGAGAATGGACGCTTTGTCTACCGGATAAGTCGGTCTCCCATGTGTGAATACATGATCAACTTCATCCACAAACTAAAACATCTGCCAGAAAAATATATGATGAACAGCGTGCTGGAGAACTTCACAATCTTATTGGTAATCACCACACTGAGCGAAGTGGGCGAGATCCCTCCGCGCTACTCTCCTTCTCCTTCCTTCCCTCTGCTGCCAGGCTGTCGGGGACGAGAAGGAGTTTTCCTCGTCCTTCTTGCATTGCCCTCATTCCACAGGGGACGAGGCTCCGTGTGAGGAGCCCCATTATCTGCAGCCCCATAAAACCGAGGATTATAGGGAGAGGGAACCTCTGTTTTTAGCCATCACGCGGGGTCATTCAGCACTCCAAGAGAGGGCAAAAAGGAAAAAACAAATTCAAAGACGGGCATAGTCAGGAGGGCAAACGGGGCCAAAACCCTCTGCAGCTTGAAAATGTTTGTAACATTGTCTTAGAAATGCTCAGGAGGAACTGATACTGAAGCATATCCGTGGAGAAACAGTGTTTCTATATGCGACGGGGTCTGGAGAGACAGAGGGTGAACACTGGTACATTCATATGAGAACAATACTGTGTTTTTTAAACATTAAAACACTTTACCACGTTCTTGTAGAAACCTATGGACCTTGTTTTACCCTTTAACTTACATGTGCCGAAAGATATTACCTTTAAAACATGTATATTGAAATAATTTATTCATTGTGATGTCAAATCTTTACATTTATCTGATTATCTGATTGTGTTTTCTGTTCCCTTGAATACGTGTACACCAGAAAGTGACTGTGTGTTCTCTTGCAGGTGGTGACGAATAGGGACACGCAGGAGACACTGCTGTGTATGGCGTGTGTGTTTGAGGTCTCAAACAGTGAGCACGGCGCCCAGCATCATATCTACAGACTGGTGAAGGAATGAGAGGCTCTGAGCTTCCCCAAATCCCTCCTCTTTATTTACATGGACTTACCAACCTCAAGACAAGTGGCAGTGCCTCTACCTGAAAGTCACACCGACAATGCTTTTTGGTCATGGTATTGGGTGAAGTCAGTTGTTATAAATTTGTTTTAATATAAAGTGTTTGTTATTTGACTGCAGCTGTGAATTACGGTACAGTTGTTTTATGTTTGAATACGAGAATTCTCGTTTATAATAATGTTGAGTTGGTCTGTTTTAGGTATAAATGTGGCTGTTTTTAAAGAATTTACTATATTAATTTGGTAAATGGAAATATGTGTCTTCTTCTGCTTTGTTATGTATATTAAGAAAAAAAAGGATGCTGATCTTTTTCTTTCAGCAGCCTAATGTGGTCTGTGTAATATGTTTGAGTGTGTTTCGTGTGTCTGTAGTTCATAATTTGTGAGCGTACATACTGTAGATATACAGTCATGCACCAACAGCCAATAGATTTTCCAAAGAAACTAAACTAAGAAAACACTACACGGACAGTTAGAAGCGAGTGGTTATGGACATTGCATATTTACTGCTTTTTCTTAAAAAAGACTCTGCTTTCATTCGTTTATTTATCCCTGTTGAAGCACTCCAAGTCTTAGACACTAACAACTGAATTATTGCACTGTGAAAGTACTAACAACATTTTGCCTGAAAATGTAGGAGGTCTTGTCCCCCGCTAAACATTTCTGTGCTACAACTCTTTGTGACAACTGATGGGAGAACTTTAGACAGGTGAAAGTACTGCAGAAATGACTCGGAACTGACTCATCTTGTCCAAAAGCACTTTGTTCCCCCGCCTGGACTGCCTTTTGTAACGCTTACTTATTTCTGTTGCAGCTGTGGTTTTAGAACAATACTCAATCAGCACACTATAAATCACGTGTAGAAGGAAGGCCTTGTTCAGTACGCTGTGGCTTAGTCCTCTTAAAGGCTCAGCATATCGTCGCCCCCCCCCCCCCCCCCCCCTGCGATGTTGGTGTCAAAAAAGACTCCAAACTGCCTTCACGTCGTCACGCTGTGTTCACATGTTTACGTGGCCTACGTCGATTCCGAGCCTTAAACATGTTAAAGCTGTGAGAACTCCAAAAGATGCCCCTTAAAACTGTGATCACTGCGCAGGAAGACTCTTTTGTTTGCATTGTGTAAGAATTGTACAATCCCGTCTGCCAAAGTGTAGATGTACAGTGCCTTAGTATACACTCTAACATTTTCCTTTTTGTTCTAAGTCCAAAATCTGTTTGGTGGAACAGGCAAAAATAAGTCACCGCTATGTTACTTGGTACCTCTTCACATCTGAGAAATAATGTTTCTTACTATTGATACACTCCTAGAAATACAGTTTTCTTGACGTTATTAAAAGGCAGTGCTCTTTTGTTGAAGTGTGTTAATTTAATTAAGCTCAGAAAAAGTTATAAAACAGGTTCTATTTTACTCTAATGCTGTAAGTGTTCCTAAAATATCAGCCTTCTTTTCTACAAGTGTACTATAAACAGACTGACTGCCTTTCCTGTTGTAAAAGACCAAAAATACAGAGATACAGTTAATCTATTGTCCTGTCCTGCATGGTAGCGAGGAAGTGCCTTTTGGTATAAAATGTCCAGCTTCAAAAAGATTGAACAGAAAGTACAAATTCAATGTTGCCAGACCAAAAAATGACACAACTTAAACCAATCACCACATTGCCTTTTTAAAGGATTATTGCTAAAGGAGGATGAAAGCTTGTCATAAGTAAAAAAAGATAAACGATTATTTTTCATTGATTTCACAAATTGTGTATTTGAAGAAAACATATTTCTTTCTTCGAGTTCAAAGACCGAAATACCTGCTAAAACCGTGCGCCCACTAACTGCACGCAGGATGTCAACTCGTATGGACACTGCAGCTGTTTGCCTCCTGCACACTTGCAGGTTCGAGTGTGTTTTTAAAAAGGTTTTGGGAAACATAAAACTCCCTCCTGGATCCACGACACTCGCGCGATGTGAAAACATCACAACGTTACCTTTGATGATGTAGTTGACACAGCTGCGATGTCCTCGACGGGCACAAGACACAAGATTTGATCATTGACCGTTCAGATCCTAAAGGAAACGTGTATTTAATGCTTATACGCTACAAATTCCATAACTTTTTATGTGGTTGAAATTCTTTCAAAAAACGGTTTCAGAAGCTAATTTTCTGGAGGTCTGGACACATTCATAGAGGTTTAATGCTTTTCACCAGAAGGACCGTAGAGACACTTACAATTATGAGGTATTTTAATAAGAGAAGCTCTAAATAATTGCAGACAATGTTGGATAAAGTTCAATCAATCATTCAGTATTTTGCCACAGTCCTGCAGACACTGTGGAGTTTTCGTGGGTTTTCTTTTCTCTCGTTTACCTCGTGTATTCGTTCACATTTACTGATTACTTAGTGAGATGTTTTCCTATTGTATTTGTATAAAGTTGTTCTTGTTTTTGTGATGACATCGTCTGCATATTGCGAGCCCGATAAGATGGTATAATGATGTGGCTGCTGCACTGCTGGTACATTTTCACATGTTTAAACACTCACAACAACTGACTGATGCCTTGGTCGACATGAATGTCTGGAGGACCGTTTTAAAATGAAATGGACACATTAAAAAAGAAACATGAGGAATCATAAATATAAACATATCAGCAGTTTAGCTCTTGTTATTTGTAATTCCGTCGACAGAGTAGGTACTGGTACCTTTTTGTTTCACAATCATTTTCAGATGGTGGCTTTAAAGTGATTTTTCACACTGCTCACATATAGTTGTCGTACACACATTTGGGTTTTGTGTGCAGACTTTTTTTTTTTGTAAAAAGGTGCTTTGTACAAAATGATATAGCTTAGCTTTTCTTGGTACAGGTGTGTGATATCTTTTTGTATCCCAGGTTTTGGAGCAAAGGAGAGAAAAGAAGCTCTGCTGTGTTTCTGTGTTCTGCAGTTGGTCTTGTCTTTGCTCCGTGACATTATGACGCCTTCTTGATAATAGTAGTTTTTTTTGTAGCTTTCTAGATACTTTGTATGTATACGATATTGAAGTTAAATAAATCTGAAAATGAACAGCCTGCTTTTGTTGTCACTTCAGTGAAACATTTATGCCCTGAAGCAGCAACATGAATCTGTGTGGACGAGGCCTCATTTAACTGCAGAAACCTCAGATCAACAGCAGATGGAGCCTGTCACTTGCTTTATGTTGATCTGCCTGTGTCCCCATGCAACCAACTGTAATATATTAATGTATACAGGGAGACTTTAATTAAGAAACAGGTTTTATTTAACTTTGAGTTCAACCATTAAGGAACCGCTAAATGTTATCCAGCATGTAATTAAAATGCAGTCACATAAGTCATGACATTTAAAACACTTTTTTTTCTGCAAAATATCTAATGACGTACTTGACATAGTTAAATAAAGAGTGGTGCCCATGAACCAAGAGGAACTGAATTGTTCATCCATAAATTACACTTGCACTATTACCTCTTGAATGCAAGCAAAATCATTTCATATTTAGTATTTCATGTGCACATGTGTGTGCTCTGAGCGAGCCGAACAATTCTAATAGCGTTTTGCTTTGAGGTTGTTATTTGTTTGAATTACAGTCTGTTGGTTTGGAGGTGGTGCTGCCAGCTACTTCCCTTCTACCGCGGCCACTTTGTCGACATGTCATGAGATCACTGTAACAAACACTCCTCCTGAGGACAGCTTGCTAGTTTCATTGGACATGGCGGCAACAGATCTTTTAAATCTCGCTTAGTTGCTGAGAATTGACAGCCCTGCAAATCCAGTTAACACTTTAAAATGTAGAGGCTTGTGTGCTTTCACATGTCAAGGAATTGATCTGGCTTGTCTGAGAAGACGAGTATGAACCTTCTCTCACACACATGGTAATAATCTAAAGCTAAAACTATTGGGACACCAAAAATACACAAGCAAAAGCTGGCACACCTCTTATCCAAGAGGTTCACATGGTCATTATAAGCCTCAAGTAACCCTCCTGTAGGGACACAAGCAGCAACCATCGAAACCCTCCCCAAAACTATACCAGGCCTTTCTTGGAGACGAATGTGAGCAAAAGCAAAATGATATTAGTATTAATATTCAGATCATTGAACACAAACGAGTAATTCAGAAGGTCACCTCTCCTCCACTCAGATCTCTCAATATAACACTCTTTGCGCCTCTGCCCCACGACCGTGGGGACTGCATGAAGTGTCTGCTCTATATTCAGAAAAATGTTCATTTTATGTAATTCATTGTATATGCTGTATATGGGAATATACAATAACGTCATTAACCTCCAACTTGTCATAGACAAATAAGAACTGGCCGCTGACGCTTGTGGGTGGAAGTCATGTGGTCACAGCAGAGGCAGTCTCGTGAGGGCAGACCTGGATTTGGCACCAGGAAAGTGCACTGGAGGACCCTAAACCCTTCAGCTCCATCAGCCACATCGCGCACATCGGACGCAGAGGAGATTTTGACGGACATGCGAATTTAACTCGGTTTAAAAAAAAACTTTTTCCTTCTTTCTATTTAGAAGAATTGGGGTTCATCAGACACCTGCGATGGAGACGGAGGAGGGCCAAATCTCGGTGTGGGTCTGCCGAGAGGAGAAGCTCGTCTTCGGCTTGTCGAAGCGCACAGCCTGCGCCGACGTTGTCAAAGTACTCGTGGACGAGCAGAACGCGCAGCGCGGCCTCCCCGACGCCGCGTGCCCGCGTGCGTACTGCATAGTGGAGAAATGGAGAGGTTTCGAGAGGACCTTGCCGAGCAAAACCAAGATGCTCCGGCTGTGGTGCGCGTGGGGGGAGGAGCGGAGCAACGTGAAGTTTTTGCTGGTGAAAAGTGAGGCGTCTCTGGCCAGCCACGGGGCCCGCGGCGCAGAGGCGCGGGTGGTGCTCAGCAGACACAGGCCCCGTGTTGCCAAGAGCCCCGAGGGGGGCATCCCGCCCGGGAAACACCGGCGCGTCGTCAGGAAAGCTTTCAGGAAGCTGGAGAGGATCAATAAAAAGAGGGCGCAGAGAGACGCGTCCTCCGCGGAAACGATCGAAACGTTGGTCCATCTGGTGATTTCGCAGGATCACACGATGCGCCAGCAGCTCCAGAGGATTACGCAGCTGGACGCGGACATCGAAGCGTGCGAGGCGAAGGTGCATTCCGACCGAATTGATAAACACGGGGTGAACTACGTGCAGGACACGTACTTGGTGGACGCTGCCCGCCGAGACGGAGACCGCGTGCGTTCAGCTCAAACTGTCGCCAGCCTCGAAGAGTACGTGCGGCGGTGCGAGCAGGTGGTTCGACTGCAGGAGGAGCTGCGGGAGAAAGAAGCCCTGGTGGACGTGTTCACGACGCAGGTCCAGCAGGAGCTGAACCGCCGCTGGATGCGGCGGAGGAAACAGCTGCAGCGCGAGGACGCCGAGCCCGACGAGGCGCCAGACGCAGCGTCAGAGAAGCAGCTGTTCTGGGAAGAGGACAGGATCAGAACGCAGCTGGAGGCGAGTTTGTACGTCGGTCTGCGCCTCAACGCGGATTTAGATGCTATTGGGGGCGATTTAGAGCTGACCCGGGAGATTTGCGGAGCGAGGGAGAAGGAAATGAGGGATTTGCTGGAGAAAGTGAAGACTTTGGAGATGGAGGAAGGGAGCGCCAACGAGGAGAGATGTGGCCCCGGGACTGATGATAAGATGGGGATGACGTGCGCTTTGGAGAGGGAACCCGAGTGGGTGGCGCAGGCCGGGGGTCCGTCTAAAGCTCACTGTGTGGACGACGACGACTCAGACACTGGCTTAAGTTCTCTGCATAGTCAGGACTCAGACTGCCTCCCTGTGTGGGAGTCACTGGTTTAGGATTCATCTGACTCTTTGTCACATTTACAGCTGCACAGTCTTAAGGATTGCTCTGATGTAAACGTGGAATTCAGGTTAACCTACTCATGATATCCTTTTTTTTATATCTTAATATCGCATCCCAACAATCTTAACAATCATCACAACCTCATTTATTTTTATAACTTCCATTTATGTTTTTATTTGGTGGGGTGCTAAATGTTGATCTCACCAAGAAAGTTGTTTTGATATTAAAAATAAAAGCCGCAGCTTGACCTCATTTGTTATTCAATAGTATTTTGTGTGGATTTTGAAGTCAGGAATGCAAACAACACAATGATGCCAAAACCAGTCAACCTCTGTCGTGTCAATACAACCTCACACAGACAAACATTCTAGTCATCTTTATCGTGAACAAGATCTCCGTGTTCACTGTAAGCAGACACTGACTGAAAGAATCTGAAGCCATAATAATGTCAAGCAGAAATGACTGTAGTTTACAGTCAAATGTCTTTGACATTAGACTATAATGTTTCCCCACTGTATGATATTTATTAGTCTACACATATTCAGCTCCCCATGCAGGACACGCGGCTGCTGGCGCCGCAGGTCCTTCCTTCCTGGAGGATTCATGTCCGCATGGTAGCTTTTGTTAGTCTGCAACGGGCTTTGCGTAATCAACGGTTAACCGTCAAAAAGTATGTAGTGAACGAGCTCAACCTTGCAGGCCTGCTGGTATTTCAGTATTTTCATTTTGTCTCTTGAAAAGGGAGGCACCTTGAGACTCGATGACACAATACGTTCTCCAAACATGACTTTAACTATTGAAATATGTGCTGCCACGACCACCTTTTGACATTACATCTAGAACGAAAAACGTTTGTAGCACTTAAACTGTAAAATGTTTTTTTCTTGCTATTGTCTCGGTTGTAATTGTGGTGGAGCCAGAGGTCATCTGTCATGTTGTGGACAATAACAGTTGAAGTAAATTTCTCTTCTTAGGAGTGGCAACAAAATATCCTCAGTTTCCCAAAAAGGTTCCTCTTTGTCAAGGTCTGAAACTCAAAGTGGTCCTCGCAGTGATAGGACTACAAGAACACACACACACACACACACACACACACACACACACACACACACACACACACACACAAGCCATCTTGAGTGTCTTGAATTTAGGGCAGCATCATTGTCAAACGAGAGGAAGTACTGTATTACACGCCGGTTGAATGGCAGCCTTCCTGCCTCTTGACTTACATCAGCACTCGGCTCTCTTACACAGTGGAACATAAATTAGCCTGACTTAATAGAAAGAAAACCCTACCTCACACATGAAAAGCACTATTGTAATAGTATTCTATTCACAGAGGAAGACATGAGCACATTCTTTTGTCTTTGTTTAAGAGGTGGCGTGTTTTCCACATTTGCAGCCTTTGTTTCTCGACACTGAGAGGGTTCACAGGTCATGTTATCAAAGGTTAACGTCACTGACGCGTTGTTGGCAACTTAATCTTTCTTCCGTCGGGGTCATAAAGGTGAACATGGGGAGTTCGGACACTTTAAGCAGCCACGGTCCCAATTTCTGGGGCTCAATGGACAGAGCAGAGGGTTTTATGTGGAGGGGTACCTGCATGGCCACTAAATCATTATGTCGCCACTGTTAACTCCACTTACTGTGTAAACTATAAGATGTACTGTACGGGTGTCCTGTGGACTGCAGTGCTGTTGCCTTAAACAACCTTTTTAATCAATAGCCGTATACCATGTCTATTATGCTGCTAACTGTGATTGAGTTTGCTGTTCCAAGGTCATGCCTATTCGGATTAAGGGTTATATGCATCTTTATTTCTGAATTAAAAAAAAATATATATATATTATAGATATCTGTTTATGAAGTAAATGAAGGTTATGTTCATATATTAATTAGATTAAATATTTCATTCTCTGCCGTTCTTTTTATTTTTTACAAATTCACCAGTCAGATGTAGGTAGATTTTGATTGTTTCATCAGGTCGAGTCAGTATCAGATGAATCCTTCGACATTGTCATGGAGGGTGTGGGTGGGTCTACGTTTCCAGAGGCAGAACTTGCAAAATCCCCTTATTCCGTAGAAGGTTTTTTTTCTGCCGTTTTTATGTAAACTTTCAGCTTTTAAGAATGAAAATAAATGTTGCCTCTGATATGTTCAAACATGACAACTATAAGTCAGATTAATTCTTTTTTTTTTCACACAAATTCCTTGCGGGAAAAAAAACGTATCTTAATAACTCAACTGTCCGCAGGTTTCTAATCCCAGGAATGTGTCACTTTGTGTTCCTGTGGTTCCTTTGTTCAGCCTCAGAAAGTTATCCGCCTACTAACGAAGGTATTGCCTCAAGAGCCAGAACTTCAATAACCAGTGTTGAGGTGTGAGCCGCTCATAGAACACTTGGCCCTCTGCTGACAGACTGGCGCCGCAGTGTGCGCTCATTAGACCTCATTGTGCTGGTGGCAGGTGTGTTGATCTTGTAAGACTGGGTGCTGACCCCAGGACCTTTCCTGTGGGATACTGTACCACCTCCTTCCAAGCCGCCTGTCACCTCCTGTAGCATCTCACACAGCCCAGATCTGTCACCAACGGACTCATTTTCCCCCAACCACCTTCCCCAGAGGAGATGAGTCACAAATAGTGATGCAGCAGAGCGTAGGGAACATTTATGAAGGATTTGCTTACTAAACTTAAGCGTGTATAGTACAGGATTGTACAGGATTGTACAGGATTGTATAAAACCACATTAAACCCGTGTGATGGATTTATAACTGCAAAATGAAAAACAGAATTGGACTTCTTCCAGGAACAAATCAGTTTAGTGTAACATTCTGAAAATCCATCGAGGGAAAATTCACCATACATTTGATCATATCTTCCGTTTCAGATCACTCATACTTTGGTTACTAGATCTGTGGACAAACTCTCAAAACTTTTGATTTTCTAATATTTAGTAAAAAGAGCCAATTCTATTGAAATAATACATAATAGTACAACAACACACATAGTGAGGTCAGAGGGGTTGAACTTCGTGAGCTGGTGCAGGAAGTTCAACTTCTGCTGAGCCTTCTTCCTGATGGTGTCAATGCTGGAGGCCCACTTCAGGTCCCAGGAGATTATGGATCCTAGAAGCCTGAAGATCTCCACAGCACTCATACGGCTCCGGTGATCAGTTGAAGATCAGCGTGAATGTGACATGTACGTGACTGTGAATGTGATATGTATCTGAAATTTGAATTTTTACACCTTTGATTCACGAAGGTATCCCATTTCATATTTTTGGATGGAATAAGTGCAATGCTGAGTTCGTAATTTGTCTCATAGTTGTGTAGAAAGTCAAGAGAAATGTCTGATGAAAACCATAAGTTGTTTAAAAGACATGCGATTACCTCCTGCGTCCTGTGACCCTCAACAAGTAAAGAAAAAATTAAAACGGTAAAAGGTGGCCAACTCATCAGTGATGAAAAGGGAGCTGGAAGCATAATATATTTATCTTCTCCAACAACACCCAGACCTTCTCCTGTGATGCAAGATAAAGGATGTCATGGGTGTGCTTCATGTATCAGTTACAGAAAAGCTCACGAAGATGTACGAGTGTTTTTGAAATTCACAGAATGATCTTCACCTCTATAAAAGTGAATGGATTCTGCTTTAGGCCAAAATCTTTTCTCTAGAGCAGTCGCTGTAACGCCCCATCTTTATCACTCACTGGGGAAGTTTGGTTTCATATACAATAGGAATGGATCGCGTTGCAGTCATTTTGTGGGTCACACCATTTCTCCACGTACATTGTGTGCGGCGAGGACTGAAATAGCCGTCACAACAGCAAGGACTTGGAAAGTGTCATATTTTCTTTCAATGCAAACATACTTAATATTTTTACCCATTTTGACTGGAGCTGTCGTTAAAGTGCAGGTCTGGGGTACATTTCCTCTTTTAATTCACAGTGGATGCACATTGAAGACGGAATCAATTATTTTGATTGTTTTGAATCTGAGAAAGAGCAAAACTATCTTGGGTTTTGAGATTTGAGAAATGGGGCAAATCAATCATGAGGATGCTTAATACTGATTACTGTGATCAGTATTAGGCATTTTTCACAGAAGGAATTTTGATATTTCATAGCAGGTAAAGCATCGATTTTTACTTTCGTATGTTACATACGATCAGTTATTAATCAAGATTTCCTTCATTTCAAGGCAGCAGAAAATACATTGATGTTTTGACCAATGTGCCGCTAACTGATCTGACCTTATTGATGACACTCCGGCCAAAAAACATGCGTATTTGTAAACTTCATCTGAAGTCACTACAAAAACCCTATACTGACAGTCCAACACTTTATTCATTCAGCATTTATTTTTGTATTTGTTATACTTTCACTGGTGTGGTATCTATCATATATGGCTGTGAAAGAATCAAACAATGGAGGCAAAACATTGATAATACACCAAATCTCCCAAAGCAAAAAACCTCCGTTGCATAGCTCTTTCTGTGAGAGTGGTGACGCAAAGAGGATGATGATTAAGTGTCTGAAATCTCTTTATAAAAGGTTTTTTTATTAAAAATGTTTGTGAAAAGGGGACCGTCATAGCCTTGGCCTCATTTTACACCAATGGTTTTGTCTGAACAGTCTCATTTTTTGAAATCAGAGTGTTAAAAAAAGTAATTCATATTAATAACAAAGGTTTGAGTGAATCATGTCAGAGAAACACAGATTGGACAAACACATTGAAGGTTTCTCCAAAAAAAAGACCCAAAGCCAAACAATGTGGTTGTGTTTGTGCTTGTTATATACTTTATTGATGACAACACCCACTGCAACGCAAGGCCGTTTTCGTTGGAAGCTCACGGTGAGACATTTCTCACACAAATATATTTTAAACACTTGTCTGTAGTCTGAAAGCAGAGTATGTAACACTACCACCACAGATACACAGAATCTTGATAGTTCAGTCCAAAAAAGCATCATCGGACAATCAGAGCCCTCATTCAGTATAGTTTACTGGGAGACTAAAAGCTGATCCTCACCAGGAAATAAAAATGTAAAAGATGTCAATGAGTTCATCCGCTCTGTTGTCGTTTGTTTCATCTGCTCGTCCCCGTTTGTTCGCGTCATTCCGGATAGAGAGCAGGATTCATTCTGTTGCTGTGTACGTAATCAATGGAATGACGTGTCTCTGTAAGGATAATAACTATTAACATGGTGGAAACACTGGATTACTGGATGAGCAAAAACTTTTGTTTACAATCAAAAAAGATTGTAAACAATTGATAGATAGAATTTAGGCATGAAAGCGCTTACACGTACGTAATTATTCTGGAACAGAAGTAAATTCTTTTTGCTGTTTTGAATTTCTTTTGCGCTCACAGACAAAGCATTAGAAGAGGCAACAGTTATTGTTCTGTGTAGGGTGGCGCTCCACAAATAGTCTGGTTTGAATAAAAGGGATGCTGATTAGCATTTAAAATTAGCTGACGGGAACCCACAAGAGTTCAGGGAGAAATACTCCACTTCTTTTGAGAGGAGGGCTGAAAGCTCTTTAACAGCACTGAGGTCACATCTCAAATGTAAATTGAATGTCTGAGAGGCTGCAGGCTTGCTCTCCTTTTTTACTTAGTATAATGAACTTATGAGCCCTTTCTTAGCTTCTCCTCATCATCACGGAGACCCTCTGAATTAGCTGACAAGATGGAGCTGCAGGTGCCTCACGAGGAACACACATACGACTTGTTGAACATAAATAGCTTATAATTTGTCACCAACAGTAACATGATAAATCGTGTTAGTGCCGTCACTTAATTTATCCCAGCCCCATATTTTAAATAGCATCCATGTTGATTGGCATTTTTCTGTTTGCAGTTTTAAAATCCAAATGAACAAGATTAATGTGAATCAACTACATTTTGCTGCTCATTATACTGTTCGCTTCTTCTACCCAACATTAACAGATACAGAAGGATTCCTTTTCTTTTATCATGAATCATTCATTGCAACCAGACCAGTTTGATTCCAATTATTTAGAGATCATTAAGCTCTTGCGACACTATTAGCTAAGTCCTTGAATGGAGAGATAGGTAAATTAATAATAGTAATGTGAATGTATTTTTTGTTTAGTTCACAAATGTACGTATGTGCATATGTTTCTTTAACAATTCAGTCAACAAATCAGTTTTTCATCTTAAAAATAAACACAAACTAGTTATCATAGACCAACGAGTTATAATTAAACACAGTTACAACGTTATGTGTAAGGAGAAGACGGTGCTACGTACGTAGGGTCGACACATCACATATCTGCAGAATAAAGCAGACTAGATACAAATCGGAGCCAAGTGGTGATATTCAACCTATAAAGATTACGTTTTCATATGATGACATATTGAGCTTGCTAGAACTCTGAAAATCTGAAGTAACTACATTCCTCATTGTTGTTCAAAAGAATCCTTCAAATTAAAAGATGAAATATATTGTTATATTGGAACATATTGAAAAACAAGTCACGTTTCGGTTAAAAAACAAATATGGTCCTAGTTATATTACATTACATGACTTACGATAAGTGCATGCAACCATAGGTACAATTTAAGTGCTACAATTTGTTAGTCTTTTAGTGGAGGTAGAGTCTGAAGAGCTGTGTCTTTAGTTTGCGGCGGAAGATGTGAAGGCTCTCTGCGGTCCTGGTGTCTTCAGAGAGCTCACTTCACCATTTTGGAGCAAGGATGGCAAAGAGTCGTGATCTAGTCGAGTGTTTTGCTCTCAGTGAGGGAGGGACAAGCAGTTTAGCAGATGCCGATAGCAGATATTAAATCAATACTGACGGTGAGTAGATAAGATGCCAACCAGGGTCCCTTGCGTCGATGACAATTAGTAGTACTTAAACATGTGTTTAGTCAGTGCATTGGTACACCTACAG